AACTCTCGAACCCGTGAGCTCTCGGCCGTGACCTTCCGCGTGCTAGCGTGCGTTGCGTGGCGTGCGCGTGTACTCGTGACTTGCGGTAGCTTGCGGTAACTCCTTGCCGAGCGAGTACTATAGGATTTTTGCTGAAAATTTTCTAAGTGTGGGGGAGGGAAAATGCTCTCGGCACTAATGGGGTGAGATGGAGTAAAAATGCTCCAAAGTGTCTTAAGTCTCCCTTAAAAGCCGAACATAGGGCGGAGAAAATGAGGAAGGAAAACACATGGTCACCATGCACTAGTGTTTGGCCCATATACCCGTGATAGTGCCGAGGCTAAAGGACAAGAATGTGTCACCACATGCACGCATTGGACACTCCGCACGGAATAGGACAAAGGGGACAAAAGTGCACGACAAATAAGGGCTGAACGCACCAACTCCTACGCACAAGAGGACAAGGCACGGAAAACGTCACCCGGTCTAGGAGACTCTGCCCGCTAGCATGCACGGCACTTGCGGACATGCACGGATACTCTCGGGCTACGCGCGCACGGTCTTCATGACTTGCATAAGGACAAGACACGCACGGTCTTTTCCTTGGCTGGACGCGCGCACGGTCTTCTTGGCGGATGTTGGCGGATATCTCGAACAAGCGCACGAGCACATGCACGGCTATAGGCTCGGGCCGAAATGCACCAACACTTATACACACGGCCACAACACATGAACTTAGCAACGTGCACGGCAATGAACTAGGGCTTGGAAAATAAATCCGAACCCAAGGCTAAACTCGTGATTAAGTTAAATTAATCACTTAATTATGTTTAATTAACTAATTAAACATAATGCTAATTTACCAAAATTATTCCGAGCGTAAACGGTACGTCGAAAATAGTTCCGATAATTCTGACTGAGATAACTGAAGTAAATACTTCCGAAAAATAATATCGGAACTGAAATATTATTATACTGATAAAAAGTCGGGATATTACAGATGTTCTATGACTGCTTCGCGCAGATTAACAAACATCTGAATCTGGAACTGAAACCAGTAGCGACGGCCTTGTATGGTTTTAACGGAGGTGAGGTAATGCCGATGGGCGAAGTAAGTCTAACTGTGGCGTTGGGATCGGGTGATACTAGGAAGGTGAGGATGGTGCGGTTCGTGGTGGTAGGAGCAGAATCGTCCTACAATATCATATTGGGACGGACGGGGTTGAACGCATTCCAAGCAGTTGTGTCTACATACCACATGACGATCAAATATCTTGTGGGTGAAAATATGGGCGAGATTGCTGGAGACCATCTCACATTGAGGAGTTGTTACCAAACCACTGTTAGCAATAACAAGCAAATGGCGAAGAAGCAAGCGAAAGGGGGGGAGGAACGGCCCGATCGACCAGGAGGATCGAGGTCGAATGAGGAGAAGGGACGTCAAGACAAGGGAAAGGAGAAAATGGACATGCAACCAGGGGGCGAGGTTGAGGAGGTCCAAATGGTGGAAGGGAAGGATGATCGAAAATTTAGAATTGGGAAAGAGCTGGGAGAGTCAATCAGGTCGAGGTTGGTGGACTTGATAAGAGAGTTTGCGGATATTTTCGCATATACTGCGGAGGAATTGACAGGTATCAAGGCCAAGATAATCGAGCACCGGCTGAATATCGATCTTAGTGTGAAGCCGGTAAAACAGAAGAGGAGACATCATGGAGCGGAGATAGACAAAATTATCGAGCAGGAGGTCGAAAAGCTATTGAACGCTGGGCACATCAAGAAGATTCAGTTCCCTGAATGGTTATCTAACACAATAATGGTATCCAAATCGGGATGAAAGTGGAGGATGTGTATCGATTTCCGTGATCTAAATAAGGTATGTCCGAAGGACCTATACCCGCTGCCAAGGATCGACCAGCTGGTGGACTCCACGGCGGGATGCGAGTTGCTCAGCTTGATGGACGCCTCACAAGGGTACCATCAAATCCTCTTGGCAAAGGAAGATTGGAAGAGGGTGAGCTTTATAACAAGCAAAGGCACCTATTGTTATGTGGTCATGCCATTTGGACTGAAGAATGCCGGGGCCACTTACCAGAGGTTGGTCGACCAGATTTTCAAGGACCAGTTGGGGAGGAATATGGAGGTATATGTCAATGACATGCTGGTAAAGAGAAAAATGGAGGTGGACCACGTAAGCGACCTGAGAGAGACTTTCCAAACACTGAGGAGGTTTGGCATGAAACTTAATCTGGCTAAGTGTTCGTTTGGCGTAAAGGCAGGGAAGTTCTTGGGATACATGGTGACAAAGCGAGGAATATAGGTGAATCCCAAGAAGGTGAGAGCTGTGATCGAGATGAAGCCACCAGCCAGTGCGAAGGAGGTCCAAATTCTAACTGGTCGAATAGCGGGGCTGAGCAGATTCATCTCCAAGGTAGCTGAGAAGAGCAGTCCTATGTTCAAAACCCTAAAGAAGAGCTCGAAGTTTCAATGGACGGAGGAAGCCCAGAAGGCCTTCGAGGAGCTACAAGAAGTGCTGGCAAACTTGCCCTTACTAGCTAAGCCAACACAGGGAGAAGAACTTGTGCTCTACATATCGGTGGGCGAGAATATGGTAAGCTCGGTATTGTTGCGAGAAGAGGGAGTGACACAATTCCCGATATACTATGGAAGTCGGGTGATGCAGGGAGCAGAGTTGAGATACTCGAAAATTGAGAAATGTGCATTGGCGGTGGTCGTGACGGTCCGAAAGCTGAGGCCATATTTCCTAAACCATAAGGTCAAGGTGCGCACAAACATGCCATTTGAGCAGACTTTAGGTCGACCAGCAGTATCTGGTCGACTAGTGAAGTGGGCGGTTGAGCTGAGCGAGTACTCTATAATATATGAGCCAAGAAGGGCAATCAAAGCGCAGGTCTTGGCCGATTTCATACGGGAGGGTACGAAGGAGGAAGGAGACGAGGAAGGCGTGTGGCAATTGTTCGCAGACGGCTCAGTGTCGAGGAGCGGGGCTG